CAAAGTCAATTTGATGTTCTATGCCTCGAATTGGTGGCAACCCCGGTGGCAGCTCATCTGGGAATACATCATCAAAGTCCTACAAAAGAGAAACAATAGAACTAGGCAAACAAGAGTTAACGTTGTTAGTGTTCAAAAAGGCCTCCTTGTACATAAGTACAATCATCGGCTGATTCGATCGCATAGCTCTCTTCACATCACTCGCCCCGCATATAAACTTGTTTTTCCCTCTTCTTTTCTCTCATTGGCCGAACTCACTTTTTTATTTTCTCTCTTGTTTTTCTCAGCCTCACTCTCTCTTTCTTTTGTACTCTCAATCATTTTCTTTTGATCACTCTCTTTTTGTAACCTCACTTGATCCTCAAGGACCTGTTGCGGCGTTAAAGGAACTAGAGTGATTGTTCCTTGGTTGAACGCAAATGAGTACTTGTTGGTGAAACCATCATGCTTGGCCCGTCGATCAGATTGCCACGGTCGACCAAGTAACAAGTGTCCAGCTTGCATCGGAACAACATCACACAGTACCTCATCTTCATACTTTCCAATGCGAAATGATACTAACACTTGCTTGTTCACCCTCAATTCTCCACTATCATTAAGCCATTGCAGCTTATATGGTTGTGGATGTTTGGTTGTAGGCAGCCCTAACTTCTCCACCATCATAGTGCTAGCAACATTGGTGCAACTCCCTCCATCAATGATCATACTACACACCTTGTCTCGAACATAACACCTAGTGTAGAATATGTTTTCTCGCTGAGCTTCTTCATCTCCCTTTGCTTGCACGTTTAGAGCTCTCCTTGCAACCAAAAGTTCACCATGTGCTGCATATTCTTCTTCTCCATCATCCTCTTGTGGTGGTGTGGAATCCTCCTCTTTTTCGGTCTCAAACCCACCATCATCACGCAACAGCATAACTCTCTTGTTTGGACATTGGTTTGCTTTGTGACCCCAGCCATGGCATTTAAAACACTCTATATCACGATTCCGAGTTGTATTAGAATCGATTTTACCTTGGACTGCATGGTTGGTAGTGTTTTGCTTTGGCTCGAATTTGGGTTTAGTAATAGTTGGCTTCTCATCTTTGCTAACAACATTATGCCTCCAAGATGAATTTGAACTTGGGGCTGATCGTGGATTGTTACCCGCCACTTGAGCTGATTCTCAATCTTGATGGCCATGTGTACCATGTCCTCCATCTCAACATAGTGTTGCAACTCCACTATGTTAGCAATCTCTCTATTCAGCCCTGCCAAGAACCTTGCCATAGTAGCCTCCCGATCCTCCTCAATATTTACTCGGATCATTGAAATTTCCATCTCCTTAAAGTACTCTTCAACACTCCGATTTCCTTGCTTCAAATTATGTAGCTTTTGATACAACTCTCGGAAGTAGTAGCTTGGCACGAACCGCTTTCTCATTAGGGATTTCATCTCGTCCCAAGTTGCCACTGGATTCTCCCTATTTCTCCTCCTATTCAGCACTAATTGATCCCACCAAATGATGGCATAATCGGAGAATTCAATCGCTGCCAACTTCACCTTCTTGTGTTCCGAGTAATTGTGACAATCAAACAACAACTCCATCTTTCGCTCCCACTCAATGTAAGCTTCAAGATCGTTTCTGCGTTGAAACGATGGTATATTCACCTTTATGTTTCCCAAATTTTTATCCTCACGATTTCGAGCATCGCGAATCCTCGCTCCAAACCTTCGATTTACAGCAACGGAATGTTGGTCATCGAAGTCATCACTAAAATACTCATCCTCTTCTTCCCTAGCCTCTCTAGGTGGAGCTTGTCCTCTCCTTTGCACGTTAGGAATGGTTTGAGGAAACTCTTGCTGTGAGTTTTCCATTTGATCCATCCGCTCATGAATCTGCTCCATCTCTTCCCTCACGAATCTCTTCATCTCACTAATCAACGCCTCCATCATAAACTTTGGATCAACCTCCCTATGTGTGTCTTCCAAATTTGTTTGATTGTTAGACATGATTCCTGCAAAACAATGTTAGAAAGAAAATATGGACCTCACACACTCCCTTACGTGTTTCACTCAATAAATGGATATCGCTCAAGTTCACTCGTGTTTGCACACAATCAATTTTGGATTTTACCCTCTTATGAACTCACCACTTTTGCATTTTTCCTCTCAAATTCTCAATAGCCCCAATCAAACTCACCCAACAAATATCAGAATTTTCAGCAACAGTTCACCACGAACTGTCAGGAATTGATATAGAAGATGAAAGATGAACTTGAATCGAAATAGAATATGAGCAGAAATTAAGGACCTTTGGATAGTCACGAGTAATTTATTTTGTTTGAATTTCGAAATTAATATTATAGGAAACAAAAGAGTGTAGGAAGGAAGTATATATGGAGTAGAAGACAAAGATATTCAAGGATCCCGAGGATAGGAAACAAAATATACCCTTCCTAACTTAAGATGCAGTATTCGGATCCTTTCCCACTACTTACAATACCAACAAGGAATTATTCCTTTCAAATAATTTCGATTTTTGCTTATTTTCCTTTTTTTCGGATTTTTTTTTTTTTTGACAATAGACGCAAGACGAACAAGATACTAGACGAATTTAATAACTCAAGAACAGATTTGATGATGGAAACAAAACAAAAGAAGAAAAGATGACACTAGAAGGGAAGAAAGATATGGAATACGGAAAGAAACGAAACAAAAACAGCAAAAGACTCAAAGGATAGACGAAACCTTCTTGGAAGATGGCTCTGATTACCAAATGATATGAACCACACCAACCATGTGACGAGACCCGATAACAATACTCCGGTTATCAAATCCTGGACCGTCCAAAAGAAGGAATCAAAAGGGGGTGGAACCGCGACCCGTTGTCTATATAGAGACAAGAACCTTGGTATGTGAAGACCCCACAATCAATTGTGGAAGATTGATTGATAAGTCGGGTGAACGTACGGAATCCTCCGATATGTTCGAAGAGTTCTTAAAGAACTAGAGAGAATAATCTCACAATTTAATTAATGATCAAAGCTGTCTTTCACAGTGAAAAAGAAGGCATATATATATAGCCCCCAAAACATAGTCTTCAAGAAAGGAAAATAAAACCCTAAATCTACTTAATAAAGGCTCTAAACAAGTGAGCCACGAAATTAAAGAGGGCCTTAATAGAATAGGCCCATATACACACTAATATGAGCTGATTCGAGATGAACCCACGGATTTAAGGTAGGGTGGGCTTTGATCTTCATCCTGCTTGCTCTTATTTTGCCCGGATGGTTCGCACACTTGTCCGGTGACTCCGTCACTTGAATATGCATAATCCACCCTTGTTTATCACCATTGAATGAAGCTTTCTTAGTTAAGACATTTTGGATCAATGCAGCAAGCTTCTCCTTGAATTGCTTAGCTCGGCTCCTCGTTACTGGTCCGGTTGGGACTTGGATAGGATCATCTTGCAAACTGTTGGTTAGACCTCCATCAAAGCGTCATCTATCCAAAATTAAAACATAGTCTCTAAAAGAGTACTATTTTTTCAAAATTAAATTTTCTTAAGTACTGAGTTGGCTAGTTAAGAAAAATTGGGTGGGCTACATAATCCGAATACCTATTATATAATCTAAAAAATATGAAGAGAGGCAGAGAAGAAGTCTACCCTAGTCATAGTATGCCTACTCCACTGCAATATATATACGTGCATGATGTTTGAAAAGGTCCTCAAAATTCACGTTCATTGCCAATAATATAAATGCATTTTATAATGAAAAGTGAAAGAATGGACAATCTATTTACAATACAAGATCAAAGGGAAAAAAATTATGAAATATCTTCTTAATCAAATGAGTGATATTAGAAAAAAAAAAAAAAAAAAAAAACATCATCAAGATTCCGTGATTTTTAGTCTGTAGAGAAGGTCCTCAAGATTCATGTTTCTTGCCAATAATATAATTGAATGTTATATTTGGAATGCCACGTCTGCAGGGGTAAATTCAGAATGCCACGTATGATATCGACAATCTTAAAAGGTATGTGTGGAATTTAATGAAGCCTGTCACTTTTTCATGATACTCTACCTAGGTCTCTTACCCTTCATCAAAACTGGACAATCCCCTATCGTGTACGAGTGACATGGACCATCCATAACCATAGATTCAACGAAATCAAATGGTCTTGATTTTTGAGCCCGTTGGGCTAGTTGTGTATAAAACCATCTTCTCTATATTTCAGAAACGCTTTCATTACTCTTTCTTGATATAATTCTTCCCTTCCACCCTCGGTTTGCCTGTAATTCGACCCCCCCTCCTTAGCAAAGTAAAAAAATCAGCGTCTTGTTTAACCAGGTTACTTTCTAGCTCGCTTTCATTTTTTTTTCTTTTACTGTATATGTTAAAGATGGCAACTTCTTCTCCCTCATCCGTCTCCCCTTCCCACGTGCCTTGTTCTACCCCGAATCTATTTACCAGTGAGCACTTCCACCCTTATCCCTCTTCCAGTTGTTTACTTTTCCCGGATATCCCTAACCTTGTCATGGTAACAATGGATTACGGCCATAACCCATTATTAACCTGTGAACCGAGGCCTAGCCCTGCCGACAAAGAGCAAACTACGACTCCTCGTCATTCTATATAAGCTGAAAGCATTCAATGCCTCTAAATTCGTGCCATTAATATACAACTTGTATAAAATCAAAGATCTTTAAACAAGATAAACAAAAACTTGTATTGATAAAGATTTTGCATTTGAATATAAATAACACAAGTTTTTAAATCGTTATCCACAAGTATAAAACTTGTGGATGGTGCCTTCACATGCTAAATATAGTATTCAAAACAATACAAATGAGAAGTCAAGATCTTCTCTTTTAAGAAAAAATCACAAGTTGATTTCTTCGTAAACCAATTCCTAGTATCTCGTACAATAGTATTAGTATTAGTATTAGTATTAGTATTAGTATTAGTATTAATATTAGTATTAGTATTAGAGGTGGCATGGACAATTATCATCGCAATGGCGAGAGTTAAGAGTGTAGCTGGCATAAACAAATTCATCAAGCTGGAATCGGGTGACTTATGTTACCAGCAATTTCGTCTACAAGGAAGTTTCAGTGAGTATGAAGGTACATCACAAAAATTGTATATTGTGATTCAAAAACGCATTTATTTTTTCTATTACGCATATGTATAATTATTTTGTTGTGTTAGGCTTATTTGAACTTTATGCTAGTGTCCGTTATTGCCGACTCCAATGAATTTTTATTTATTTATCAAGGTAATTTAATGTAAATTGTATTTATTTGTACGCTTTTAGGTTGTTTATATTTAAGTGATGTGTGTTACTGGTTGTATATGAACAATGAAAAATGTGCAGGTGAATTGCAAGGTATTAGATGAGTTATAGACAATGTCCATGCATATGCTATAAAACATTATTTTGATAACTAAGTTTCATGTTAAGAATCCGAGTGTATTGGACGAGATAGTTGTACTATTTACTATTTAGATCAGATGGTGAATCGTATATTTCATATCATAATTTTCGTATTTTATATTTTATTTTATCGTTTATTTTGTTTAATTTAGTAGTTAAATCAAATAAAATGGATATTGTTTTTTATGTTTTAGACTTTATCCTATTATATTTCAGTTATTCAAAAAATTTGTTGGACTATTTTGTCTACATGTATTTTCATATTTCGTAACCGTAGCTTCGTGTATATTGTACCAACATTTAGATTAATGTGCAACATTGATGTCTTCATTCGATTGAACTCTTAGAGTTGGTTGTGGTATATCAGCGTGGATGATGTTGACAACATTGTTATTTTTTGGAGATAAAATAAAATACGAATTTGTTATATTTTTGTTCGATCGTATTCGATTCATCCTCAGGGTTTTTTAGTTCGTTAATTTTTTACATTAATGCATTCAATCTTTAGAATAGATCCCCGTGCATCACATTTTCATATACCCATTTTTTTACATTTTCCACCTTAAAATTGTTAATTTCTCGATTTATAAAGGATAGCTCAGACATATTTAACAAATTATAAACAAAAAAAGTTATGTTATTTATGAATATTCAATCAACATTCACCAAAACAAAAAAATCATTCTATTGATTCTTGGTTATTACAAGTCAACTTATTATTCCCACAATATTATATTTAGGAAATCACCTGGTATAAATTTCTTCAACTAAAACCACCATCAGCATC